AACCACACTGTGATACCATACCTAACAATACTTTCTAAAACAGCTTTATAAAACAGCAGCATAAGATTCTTGATTACTCCATAGAGACGTAACCTACGTAAGAAATACAATCTCTGTTGTAGTCGAGTGCAAACCCATTCAATGTGTGTTTTCCATGTAAGTGAACTATCTATGTAAACGCCCAAATACTTATAGGTCTGTGACTGAATAATATTATGATCATGTATAACCACTTGGCGATGGTCACCTATACATTTTGGATCAAATACAATCTCTTCCGTTTTCTTTGTATTTATTATTAGCTCATTTTTATCACACCAGTCAACAAACTGACTTATCTCTGACTGGTAAATAGTGCTAATATTGTCATGCACATGGAGTAAACTTAGTATGGCTGTGTCATCTGAATATTTAAAAATAAAATTTTGTGAATGCCTACTTAAGCATTCATTTGTAAAAAGTGTAAAAAGAATAGGTGAACTGACGCAGCCTTGTGGAACACCTGTACTACAACTCTTTTGATATGAAAGAAGATTGTTTAGCTTTACATATTGAGTTCTATCTATTAAAAAAGAATAGTACCACTTAATAATACATGGGTTTACACTCAGCTGCTTCATTTTATCAATTAACAAATGCGGTTGAATCGTGTTAAAAGCAGAGCTAAAATCAACAAAAAGTAACCGAGAAGCTAAGTGTGTGCTGTGATTGGTTGGCTGGGCCAGTGTGTGTTGTGATTGGCAGCACTCAGCACCTGGTCGGGAAATGTCATGCCCCTTACCATAGCTGCCTGCGAGCTTCAGTGTAAATATTGCGTCAAAATCAAATCAATTTGAGCGCGATTTAAACCCAGATGATTGTAACCACTCTAAGTTCGTCTGCCTTGGGAAAGCTAGCGTGTCTCCGACATAGTGATAACACTCGTTGCCTTCTCTAGTGCAGCTCAACCAGGTCTCGTCCCATTCGTCGATATTTTGTGATATCACAAATCCCGGAAAATATGTGTTGTAGTCCAAACGAGTCGTTCGTTGTAGTTTTTGAAAAGTGATTTCTGTTAAATAAAATATCTTCTTTTGAATTGGACTTTGAGCTTTGTATAACTTTGCAGATCTTTTTTATGCTCAAACAGCAACATTACAGACTAACTAAAGTTGAAAAAGTGAAAAAGCATAATAGCACCCCTTTAAGGCAAGTAACAATTGAATTAAATTCCATCATGGGGCAACTTTGTTTTTGGTAGAAGATGACTTTTCTGGTAGAAGATGACTGCCAATCCTTGTTTATTCTGGGGGTTATGTTGTAATGTGTTCATGCAATACATGTGAGTATATGGTCATATCTGATTATTATTAAGTATATCATGCATGTTAATGGTAATTTCCTATGTTTATTTTGGTCAGGTTTTACAGTTTATGTTGGCCGAACTAATCTGCTGAGTCATCACTAGCTACGCTAGTGTTTGTTTAAATAATTGCTTGCAGCACTGTGTTATTTGATGCACTGCTGTATTTTCATTAACTTCAGTGTTATTACAGTTATCACGGATAATTCCCAGTCTGAGGATGCAAACAACTCCAAATAAAAAAAGTCATGTGTTGTCATTTCGAGCCCACTGTAATTATGACATGGTGTGAACGCAGCATTATGGTACTTCAGCTCATCATGTGTCATATTTTCATTGGTTCAGTCTTGTCATGTGGTTTTCAGTTCTGTTTGCTCATTGGTTGTTTTGGTCATGTGTTCCCCATGTTCCCTATGCATTTAAACTCTTGTTTGCCATATTCCTTTATTGGGTATTGGATATATTAGGGTGACCATACGTGCCATTTTCCCCTGGCGGTTTGCGTGTGCAGACCGATCGGTGTATGACATCAAAATACCATACAGACGGTTCCTTATGCTTTCAAAATGCTCTCAAGGTATTTTGATGTCATACACCGATCGGTCTGCACACGCAAACAAAGCCAAAACCTAGATATTTTAGGCAATATAGAAATCCTGGCCAGGTCTGGCCAGGCCAGTCCCGATAAAATGGCACGTATGGTCACCCTAGGACAGGGGTAGGCAAGTTTGGTTCTAGAGAACCGCAGTCCTGCAGAGTTCAGCTCCAACCCTAATCAAACACACCTGAACAAGCTAATCAATGTCTTCAGGATTACTAAGGTTATAGGCAGGATCATCTCTTGCAGTCGTCCAGTGGCGTCCATCAGATTGTGTTTTTTACCTTTGAAGAGACTCTCATGCTGTTCAAGGTGATTTTGACAGTAAGAGCTTCGACAGTCCAGACATGATTTCACTGCTTTCTGTTTAATTTCAGTGCAGGAGTCGCACTGAACATCTCCAGATCCAGTATGAACAGAAGCAGGGGGATCAGCAGGAGGATCAGGAAGAGGAGTAGCTTGGAGCCTCTTCTTCTTGAGCTTCTCCACCATTTCAGCAACCATCATGTTTTTACCTAAAACAGGTCTTGGTGTAAAGGACTGTTTGCATAAAGGACATCTGTAGATTCCCTTCTGATCGTCCTGATCCCAGATGTCTGTGATGCATTTCTTACAGTAATTGTGTCCACAGAGAATCATCACTGGATCCTTCAGCAGATCCAGACACACTGGACAAATTAACTGGTCCTGATCCACTGATATATTAGTTTCTGCCATTTCACTGTATGAACACAGACAGAGAGACGATACACACTGCAACTCGACAGTTCATTTCCTCCTTACAGGAGGGTTTATATAACATCCTGATTACATTCTTGCGAAACAGGTTTTTCTGTAGGGTGTGACTTACTGTAAGGTTACATGTAGTGTTTTTTTGTTGTTGTTGTTGCAGTATATGCACTGTCAAAAAAAAGGTACAAAAGCTGTGACTGTGGTACCATTTAAAATAATCGGATCGTGATTAAATCGCGATTAAATCATTTAGTGTGATTATGAAATCGAGAAAGCTGTTATGTGCGGTCATATACAGGGCTTTCTTGGCACTGTTAAAATCAGCAAAACCGAAACCAACATATTAAATCTAAAATCTCTAAAAACTTCTAAAACAGCACCAAAACTAAAATAAACCCTTAAACAAAGAGCCAAATACAGTCAGCTGTGAACTCACTGGTTGAGTTCAGAGTCTGAACTTGTATCTTGTACCTGTATCTTAAAATTATTTTTTTTGATTTACTCTTCAGTTTAATGAAGGACAAATGATCCATCGATCAATCTTCAGGTATTTTTGGTGTTTCCAAACATTAGGCTACTGATCCGTGATTAGAAGGGGTGTAAACTCTGACACTTAGTAATTTTTATTTATAGATCAGGTGATTACGGGGAGCACAAAGTTCATGTTTATATAAGTAGAACTAAAAGCACGTGCTTTCCTTTTAACTTGTAGATGCTACATGTTTTATATTATTACACCTGACGTTTTGTGTGTTTGTTTTACTCCATAATAATGATGTTATCTTTTGTTATATTTTCTGGGCAATACAGTTTTGAGCAGAATTGTCTCTGTACTCAATCTGTCAGTAAGAATTTGAGCAATCATCACATAAAGAGCTAGACCACAAGATGAACACAACCACATTTACAAAAATTAGCTATATGAAGATGAGGAGCCTGATATGTTAATGTATGCATGTAAATAATACCACTAATTATCTAGATGTAATAAGAATCTTTTATACATACAGTACATATGATTCTGCATGTAATAAAAGTGTGTACAGTCAGCAGAACTAAAAGTGTTAGATTAAAAATTAAATGTATTTAATGGCTGCTGTCGAAGAATCTAAAATAATCTCTCTGTTATCATCTAATATGTGTGTCAGAGCGTATACAATATTACAATAAATCTAAATTATACAATCACACCAGAAGAACATTTTAAATCTTTACATATGTATTTTTTTGCTTTATTGAACCATCAATTTAATCAGGTGAATTTTACAGGTGAACACCTTTCAAACATTTTCAACATTAATTTTCAGCGCTAACACTACTGCCATTATTAGCCTATACTCATCTGATGAGACGTTTTACACTTAATAGATCAGTAGTTATTAAAAGTTATAATAAAAAAAGCTATCATTTTGATTTTTTATTATTATATTACTTTTTAAGCTCCATGACATCTTACTGGTACTGATTTATAATCATTTATGACTAACTAAACTGCGTGATTTAATTGGTCAGATGGCATATTTTCACTGTTGTATCATTTTCTAGTCCAAACATGGCATACAGTGGCTGAGTGAATATGGTCTGGACTCTGTGGATGAGACTCATTGTGTCAGAGACGCTGTAGAAGGACAAAATCCCTGCGCTGTGATCCACATACACTCCTATTCTACTGCTGGACACTAAAGGGAGTTTAGTCTCTATGCTACTGTGCCAGAATGAGCAACAGTCTGGAGAGCAGAACAAACTCCAGGATTGATCGTTACGTCCAGCTGCACTCAGAGGACCCTCTTCCTTCCTGCTGATGCTCTTGTACGTCACTGCTACATCTACTCCTAATGAGACATCTCCGCTCCACTCCACCTCCCAGTAACAGCGACCAGTCACACTCTCTCTACACATCGCCTCGGTCCAACAATCAAATCTGTCTGGATGATCAGGATTCGGCTGGTATTTGTCAGCAAAAGCCAACACTGTGTTTCCCTCAGACAGACGGAGCCAATTATTCACTGAGTTTGGATCCAGAGTCAACAAGTGGAAATCTAAAGAAGATGCATGCATAATTATTCTGAATCGTTGCTAAATGTGCAAAAACAAGCATTTAACTGGTAACATAGTATGTTACTGCTAACAGTAATGTGTTACCGAACTGTGTAACAGTTACCATGACAAGCATTTGCACATATGAAATCTATTAAGCATGTGTTGAATGTTTTAAAAGTTTAATATTGACTTGTTTGCTGTTGTATAAAATGGCTGTAGTCAAAACAATTGAAATTCTCAGCAACCAAATGTGTTTTTCACTACTGTAAAGCGCCGTCACTTATTGTCACTGTGCAGTGTGCACCGACACAACCCACTTGTATATTATTTGAAGCCTGCCAATTTACAAAAACAAGTGAAAACAATCCTATAGCATTAATTTAGTTAAAAACAAAAACAAAACAAAAAACACTCAAGCTCTTCCACTAAAGTGGATCTTAGACTTTGTGCTTTCACAGTAACTCACATTGTAGAAACTCTTCTCTGGTCTGATATTCAGGAGTCAGAACGACCTGTATGGTTTTCACTACGGATATCAAAACACATCTGCAGTTTAATTCTCATGTCAAGAGGATATTAAATCAACAACTGTTTTTATATTTATTGAATGGCACTGAACATATTTCTGACAATAATTTAAACCTAGAAACCTCTAGAAGACATCTTCTCTGCCTCCTCTTTGCAGAACTGCTGCAGTTTGTCTTTGAGTTGAGAAACTGATTCCTCTACATCATCAAATGAGAGATGAGAGCTGACGGTGAAGACATCTGTAGATCCAGAGTAAGAGACAGACGAAACTCTACAAACCCAAACACAGGATCAGCATATTAATGATTGCTGAAGTAGCTGTGACACTGAAGACTGGAGTAATGATGCTGAAAATTCATAATAAATTCAAAATTCAAATATTAAAACTTTGATTACAGCAATAAATTACATTTTAAAATATATTTAAAAACACTTTTACATTTGAAACTGTAATAATCAGTTTGGACAAATTAATGCTGTTAAAAGTAGCTGTGACACTGAAGACTGGAGTAATGACGCTGAAAATTCATAAATTCAAAATTCAAATATTAAAACTTTGATTACATCAATAAATTACATTTTAAAATATATTTAAAAACACTTTTACATTTGAAACTGTAATAATCAGTTTGGACAAATTAATGCTGTTAAACAGATTAAAACATATACGTTTTTAATCTCAGACAACTATAAAAACACCCAATGGCCAACAATTACAGTTTTCATTTGCTAACATCCCTTTGTCCATTCTGTAGTCACATTTTCAAAACTACACACAATTAGCACAACATCTGTCTGTTGTGACCATATCATTAACACAATTCATGTTGTTTACACACAATATTCAGTCAATTAATACATTTCTAAAATGCTTAATTTCTTTTCACACAAGCTTACCCCATAACAAAATAATGGATCTTTCTTATTTTTTTTTTTTACAAATGCTTAAACACAGCATGACAGAAATGAAGACCTAATGTTCCAAACTTTAAATATAGTTATGACGAGCGGCGACGTTATAAAGGGTTAAAGAAATTACTCAAGTTTGAAACCATTATACTTATTCACACAAATCGCGACTACGCCACCCGGGGATTAACACCCGGGAAAGACCCACAGGCCCACAGGTTCGCCTTCTCACAAAATGACCCAGAGACGTGAATACCTTGTATAAAAGTAACAAATCTTTATTAAACAATTTCTCAATTAAAATGAATCTTTGTTCAATGAAACAAGAAAATTATGCACAGCAAGTGCAACAAGCTGCCATGAAATACATACAAAACAAACAAAAAAACACAAAAGAGCGGCTAAACACAAAAACACAAAACGCCGGGCTTCAATAGGGCTCGTACTACTGAGTACCCACACGTGCACAAAAACACACTTACACACCCCAGGAAATTCCACAGGATGATTTAAACACCAGATAATGCGGACCCCATCATCTATCCAGCAGCCCTTACTAGATCGCATACAGGCAGCAGCAATCACTGAAGCAGGCGTCACCCGCGATTCTCAATTGCAGAGAAACACAACAGCAGAGGACCGGCATTCACCCATATATGGGTGCAACATGCGCCCGAACAAACACCAGCTTCACAAAGATTACCCTCATGCAACGCAACGAAACTCCGGAAGTGTGATCAGCTGAGTATGACGCAACACCCTTCCATCTTGCCTCACACCTTTATATACACTCCCCTAACTAGGACGCCATAACAAATAAATACCTGGGGGTGTGGTCAACCAAACAGAATCCACCGCAATAACTGCATTTCACCATAGTGTAAAACCTCTACTTGGGCAACAACAGCAGCTTAAAAGAGCTGATAATAATTATTTTAATTACTAATAATTGAGAAATAGCTGATTCCAATCTTAATGAACAATTCCAAGTATTTCCCTTACATGGTCATGCACAATAAAAAGGCACTTTCTGGGTTGGTTTGTTCAAAACAATACAGCACAACACAGAGAAGCAGAAAAAGAAAGAAAATGTCTAGAGGAGGGAGAGTTGGACGAGGGAGAGGAATAGTTGGACGAGGAAAAGGACTGGTTGGACCAGGGAGAGGACAAGGTGGACTAGGGAGAGTAGTAGTTGGACCAGGACTGTCTGGTTTGGTTTAGCTACCAAATCAGACATCAAGAGACTACAGCAGACAGTCAGGACTACTGAGAGGATTATTGGTCCCCCCTGCCCAACCTCCAAGATCTTTATATCTCCAGAGTTAGGAAAAGGGCTAAGAAAATCACTTTTGGACCCCACCCAGCCCACTCTCTCTTTTCAAATTGTTGCCTTCTGGTCTGTGCTACAGAGCAGCAACCACCAGAACAGCCAGGCACAAGAACAGTTTATTTTTTATTTTATTTTATTCCCCACAGGCTATATTGAGCCTGAACAATTAAAACATTTATATACATTTTCCATCATAACTGACACATTTATATATAGAAAACTGAA